GCTTAAATTATTTCTCACTTGATTAACATTGAGAGAAAGGAGAAAATGGCTTTGTTATTTTAATTACTATAATTGAGAATCTACAAATAAACCTTTATTTGCAAACACCTCATTCCCTCCCTCATCAGGTAATCCACACTGTAAATTGCAGGAGCACAGAGTAACTAACAAAGACACTTCCATCCCAACATATTATGGAGAAATACAGAGTCATCTCTCTCTAATGAGAAAACTTCAGTGTGTCACAACGCCTTGAAACTGAAATGATATCTTTATGGAAAAGATTATAATTGGTAGCGGGTCTCACACAGCCAAATCACGGCTCTAATCCAATCACTAAACTGCCATATGCTCTGTTCTAAGCCATCAGCCAGTTCCCTACCACGACTCTCCAGAAATAACTGTGGTTTGCAATTGCCCAGCTGGGCATTTAAAATATTCTATAAAGGTTTGGTGCCACACATTTGTTGGAAAAGCATTGTGGTCCTTGCAAGTTCATCCCATTTTTATTTCTGAGACCAAATGGTAAAAAGAAGTAACAAAAGCAGTCACAGAACTATAAAAGAAGGTGAACAACTGCAAAGTACCATTAGAGATATTTATAAAAAGGACAAATGGAACTGAGAGAAAAGTCACACATCTCCAGGTCTGCCCCCAAAATTACTCTTTTTAAGACAAATACCTATAATCCATGTCAAATGCACTCCAACTGTTAGGCAACATTGACTTTCCAGTCTAAAACTGGGATCAGCATTCATTCTTTGCCTACACAGAAGCCTAAGAGGCATGAGCAGATACACACTCTTTGAAAGTCCTCTTCCCTTGTGATTTAAAAATAATTCCCCCTCAATGCCCACCTCTATGGTTCTCTTTTCACTAAGTGCATATCCCAGCAACTCAAAGGCAAGAATTGACTAAGTAGATGTGTAAGTATTAACTGATAATCACTCATGTGTTGTACATGGGACCGCAGCCAAAAGATAAGAACAGCCCTAAAACCAGGGGCCAGAATCTCTTATCCCGCCAGTACCCAGAGCACCCTGAGCCATGTCAGCTGCCAAGGAGCTCAGGATCCACAGCACAGGTCGAGGGACCTTCTGTCTACACCTTGGAGATCTTCTTCTGATGTGGCCAAGTGCTGGGCTTTGGCACCTCCCCGGGAATGCTTGAAGATCAGGACAAAGGTGGACACCAACACCAGTGGGTACACACAACTCTCCTCGTGGGTTCCCACCACAAGACAGAGCCTGGCTTCACTGCCTGGCCTGGCTCACACCCAGCCACGCTCAGGCTGCCTCGCAGTCACACCAGGCAGCAAGCACTGCTTTGGATGGCACTCCAAGGTCTTCAGGGAAATCTGCATCTTCCATCAGCTGCAGAGAGCTTGGAGGTTACACTGGGCCAGCAGAAAAGGACCTCTGCAGATCAAGTGTCTCTATGCACTCTGGACACCCTTTTGTGTTTTCCTTTCCTTTTAAACAAGTATCAGATTTTTTTACACATCAGTTGAAATATACTTTTTAAATAAAGTATTTTATCAGCGTTCAAAAATAAAAACATCCTCGTGAAAGGAAACCAATAGAAAAAACTTTCACCATTCCTCCAAATACACAGAAAACAAAACAAAATTATCTGCAAATGCAATAATTTTCACAATACAGCTCAGCAGTATTCTCTCTTTACCTAAGTGTTGAAAATGTGACCAAAGAATACAGTAAAAGCTCAGGAATATCTGGCTGGTTTAATTAAATCCCTATTTTTCATAAGGAGAATTTATTCTCACATACTTCAAATTTGCTAATATCAAATCCCCTCAGTCACAGTATAAACTCTTTAAGGTATTTCGAAAGCACGCTCCTCTGAACTTCTCTGAATAATTCAGCTTGTGTACTGCATGCATTTACATATCACTGTATCTGATCTGTCTACAGTATGCAGACCCAGCATGCTTGCAAATGCAAAATGAAACCACTACGGACACAGATGTATATTAAAAGTGCCTTAATCTGGCCTATTTGCAAAAAACTCAGAAAGTCATGCCAAGGCAAAGCAGAAAACTTGGACCATTCTGCTCTTCAGTTCATAGGATTGTTTCCACAGAACAAAAGAACAAAGCATAAATATTTAATTCTCCCGACATGCAAACACTGTATTGTTTTCCTGTTCGTAGGGGTAACACTCCTGTTCACATTTTTATTTGCCATCCAATTAGTAGCTTAACACAAGTACAGCTTCCCACCTCTGCACTGAGGGAGATGTTAAAGAGGAGACAGGCATTTCTCAGTTTTAGCAAAGGTGGGAACACTCTGGAGCAAGAGACTTTTTTCAGTAAGTCAGGTCACAGAATACAGTTATGCCGATCACTGGGGTTAGAACCACTAGTCACAAGCTTTAAATTAGCAAAACAATTCTTAAAACTAATTTTATTCTTATCATATTATTTTATAAATAAATAATGTGAATTAGTATTTAATTGTTTCAACCTGAGGTTTTAATTTTCCACCTATCAGTATGGGAAATCTCTTGGCAGCTCTGGAGGCTACGTGAAAATTAAATTTCTAGTTTAATTATAAATTGGTTTTGCTGTAATAGTGGAGGCTTTAATTGAAATATTTTAATTAAGTGCTTGAAGCCACACAATGCCAGCTTTTTGCTGCAGAATAGCTTATCTCAGAGTCTGGAGTTTCACATTTACTCAGCTCCTGTGCTGAACACAGACTGATGTAGAACTAATTGTTACTGCTGCTTTTACCTGGTTAATGCAGGTACCAAGACAAACAGTGGGTACATTCAACCCCGCACGTCGGACCGTGTTAATGATGTGGGCAGTAAAAAGGGTGCTTAGAACTGTTTAAAAATAATTAGAGTGAGTGAAAGAAAGATAAAACTGTAGCATCTTGTTCAAAATGTCCCGATGCCGACACTTCTTGCCTCCTGGCAGCCCTCCCAGGAGGAACAAGCGGCAGACAGGGCTATCAGATTGCTCTCTGACGGACAGCCAGACTATGGCAAAACACAAGCTCCAGCAGGGATGCTGATCTCTCCTTCTCTAGACAGGATATCAAAAGTGAAACCACTTGCAAGGTTCATAAAGAGCACTATTAACATTATTAAGATTTCAGGAGTGCGGGAAGGGGGAAAGGGTCACTTGCTTTTTCACAGATTAGTTTCCACATGTGAGTGTTTCAAAAACAACACAATCTGTGTCTGGGGCCCCTCCTGATGACACAAACGAATAAAAAAATGGGATCTAGAAGTACAGAGGAAACTGAGAACAGCATCAGCAGAATTTCACACTTGTAAAACACCATGTGTAACCTCTGAAGGTTTCTGGAAAGGGGGGTCAGGCAGGTGCTATTATCCTGACAACACAGGCAAGAATAGTAGAATGCTAAACAGTGATCACCAAATCAATTGGCTGCACCAAATCTATCCATAAACATCTGCATGGCTGCTCTGAGACCTAGGCTACAATACCTTTTCCTGTTACCCCTGTACTGGGTAAAAAAAAAAACAAACCAAGTCACCTAAGTTTTCAAGCACTAACATCTATGGAAGCTGCTTCTGCAATATAACAAATTAACTAAAAACTTTATACTTCAAAAGAATTACTTGGAAGGGAACCATACAAGAACCAGAAGAGGCAAGGAAGTAGTTATATAAGACTTGTGGGAAAGAACTTCCCATGCATTGCAGTAACAGAAAGGTAATGCTATTAATCAGGGGGAAAAAAGCCCCCTGTTTTTCTACTACACAGTGCCCTCACTTATCAAATAACTCAAGACTGAATAACAGATAAATACATCAAGGTATTTGACAGTGGGTTAATTAAATTACAGAAGAACATACTGATTCACACAACATATCTTGTCTCCAGAAAGAAAACGCTTATGAAGAAAAGGAAGAAGAACAAGCACTTAGTACAATTATGTAAAAGAGACAGGTAAAATGTCATCTCAGAAAACAAATATTGGCTGTCAAGCAACTAGGTAGAGTAAAACTACAAAAGGGAAGGGTGGAGCACTGGAGGGTGTTTCTTGCCCTATTTCTCTCGTATTCGTGTTCTTTACTGGCTAGTACAATTCATTCTGACTGTCTGAAGAAGAAAAGCCTGCCAACTAATCTTGGAAGCCAAGGGAAATAGATTAACAGAGGAAATGAGTAGGCCTGGGCTTCAAAATTCACCTTCTCCAATTTCCCCTTCTTCCACCTAAAATGCATAACTAAGCTGTCATGAAACCACATGTTGTAGTGGTAAAAAACCATTTTGTTATTTTAGAATCTCTGAGCCAAGAACATGGCCAAAATTGTGACTGAAAGCTGAAAAGACTTGTCAGTATTGGCAGGATATAAATTTCAAGAAAATGAAGAAAATCCCAGCTGGTAGAGATCACTTTAGCTCTTTTAATCCACATTGCTGATCCACACCAGCTGAAAATTTGAACCTTCTTTTGGGTTGTGTTATTTTTAAGCAGCTAAACCTCAGACTTGAGTACAATTGTTCAGTCCCATGACAAGCATAGTGGAAGCAGAAAAGAGCCAACATGTCCCAGTCACTCACTGAATCCTTCATGTGCCAGTCAATTCTTATTAGTGCTATCAAATCACCTGCAGCTGTTCCCAAGTCTCTCTTGGGAGCTACAGTGAGACACAGAAACCCCCCCCAAAAGTAGAAGCCTTTCTGCTTTTAACATTCCCTCATGTTCAGACCATCCATGCCACCTACATTTTCTATGAGTCACCTTGGCGGCCTGTAACACTCTCACTCTGCCAAGGACAGGACCCCAGATTTCGTGTCACATGTTACCCAATCTCTTCTTCCTCACTTATTCTACCCATGAAATGAACTGTGGCATCTCTTCCCATCAAGAAATTTCCTCGGCCTCCACAGTGAGCAAAAATTCCCTGGCAGCACCTAGATCTATTAAATCATACAAATACAACTTTTGAGAACAAAACTGGGTCTGTCAGATGGCTGATGTCACCCTTCAGACACTCACCAGGGTGACAATGGCACATTCAGCAGTCAGTTGAGCAGCACTGAACAACGTCCGGACAAAGCGGTAAATCTGTTTCTGCTCCGGGTCATGTTTGTCATAGTCTGGTGGCACTTCGGATTTCTAAGGAAGAAATACTTCCAAATAGGTGACTGAAACAAAACGAAGCAGACAGAAAAAAAAAGACAGTTCACATGAAAGGGAAGGAGAGGCAGATGAACTTACCGAAAGGGGATGAAGGTTTTCATCAAAAATATCTAAGAGCATTCTTCCGTCTGTGTCCCTAAAAGCATTAAAACCAAAGCACTGTCATTATCTGAACACAGCAGCACACAACCCTCACAGACACAAGTGCACCATTCAAACTCCAACACTCCCCATGCTGAGGGGTGCTTAGAACCACTGATGAAATGGGATGTGCAAATAGAGGTTGCACATACTCTGCCAAAAGGCCTTCATGTAATATGAAATTAATATTACAAAACATGCTAAAACACTCAGCTTTCTGTGGCAAAGATACAAAACTGCTTTTTACTGTGAGGCTTAAGAAATACTACTGCAAACTTGATAAAACCAGCACAGCTTACTCTCCATTTCTCCTTTTTTTAACTTACTCATGTCCACCCCTGCAGTCTCTCAACTCCTCTTCCTCCTTTATTACCAACATTGTAAATGTTTGCTAATATGCAATGCTATTTTTACAGTAATCTTCTAGTTAATACATACATGCTTCACTTTTAATTTACTTGAAAAACCCTATTGTACGAATGATTTCTGAAAGCCAAAAGAAGCACATACAAACAAAAATTCAGACAAAATAATATTCCTACTCATTGGTTTTATTAGATGATTCCCTGAAATCCCTGTAGCTCAATATCAGCATGCACGCTGATGTAACTTCACAAGCCTAACATCCAGGATGCAATGTAAGATTTTTGCTATATGTGACTTTGGCAAGGACACTAAAAACACAAAACCAAGAAGTATAACTGTACCAGAACAGGCACTTTATGGACAGATGCATCCCTGTGACCTACTTATTACAGTTCTGTCTTTATTTTTAGCATCCCTGGTACTCTGATCATACAGTTCTTAACAAACAAACCACTGAATATATTTTCTATCTTTACTTAGCAGCACGTGTCTCTCAGAGCATGCAAACCACAAGTTTTACAGTGGACTCATGTTTGCAAAATACATTTATTAACTCAACATCTGAAGGTGCCATTTTTTCTACTAAAATGGAGGCTAATACTGGAAAGAAACATTTTTAATATGAAAAAGAGCACCTAAATTAAAACAAACAACCAACAAAACAAAACAAACAAACAAACTAAAAGAAAAATAAATAAATAAAACCAAAACCTGGACTGGGGTAATTACGAGAAAATTCCTATCAGCAAGGATTCTAGGCCAGACTCTTCTAACCCTACCTAAAAACCCAGTATCTTAATGCAGAAGTAGTCCTGCTGAAATGATTGGTGTGCTACAGTAAACTACGGCACTTGACAATGCAAATAATTTCCTATTTTATTTCTTCAGGATGTAGCTGCTATATGCTATGAAGTCACACCTGACTGCCTTCAAAAATCTGTTTAAAAAAAACTTGAGAGGTTTTTGTTTTCACTACAATACACATTGTACTCTTTCAAAAATGGACCATTTACTGATTACTCAAGCATTCTTTATGGTCAGTTTGCTGGGGTTTATTTTATTTCTTTAGCAAATTCACCAATGCTTATGCATTCCTTCAAAAACAAGATGGGTGTAGTTTTTTATCACTTGTTGAGTAGCTAAGACATCAAAACATGAAGAAAATGGATCAGTATAACCATGATAGGAGACACTGGGAAAGGAAGGAATGATAACTAAAATGCTACAATCAAATTAAATGTGAGAAACGTGAAGAAATATTATATTTCATGCATAGCTTCTCAAAAAATTAGATTGGTGAGGGTTTGAAACATTAGGAAGTAATTTTGGTTGAAGTTTTCCTATGCAGGAGAAGAGGACCAACTAAATACTGTATAAAAAAGAATTCTTCTCTGGAAAAGCAGATGCTTGACTCATTTTCTGTCAAAATGAACCTGAGTCAAAGAGTCACAGTGGTTTCATACTTCCCATCCCCCCACATGAACCAAAATCTCCCACATCAGCTTCCTTTTCTCCTATAATAGCAGGAAACAGAACATATGTTTTGCTCTTGCTGTTTCAGCAGCGAGCACAACTGAGTGCTGTTATCACATTGTCCCTCCACTCCCAAATCAGAGAGAACCCAAGACCCAACAGTTGTTTCACATCGCTCACTTCAGAGTTTCTGACACACGTGGGCCTGGCTCCAGCATCACTGCTGGGACTGTCTGTCCCACCCCAGGCACATTCCAGGGAAAGCAGCAGCAAGCAGTTTCCTGAATCAATCACCTCTCCATCCCAAAAGTGAAAGGACAGATAGCAACTTTCCCAAGAAAGTAACAGTCAGAATGCATTTGTTTTCAAGATGCTGACACAGTACTCTTCATTTTATAAAGGTCTGGTGTCTCTGTCTACCAGTTGTAGGTCACAATTGCATCAGGCTCTGCAAGCCCACGAATGGGCATAATTTACTGCAGACAGGGATCAGCTCCATGGCAATAGCACAGATGGCCATGTCTGGCACACTGTGGCTCTGGGTGCCCCTGGCTCTGGATTCTTCCTGCTCACTGGCAAACTCTTACTGAGGTTTCTCACCCTTTGTAGTCTCTAATGTGCCCCATTCTCTCAAGCCTTTTACTCAGCTGCCATGGTACTTAGCAGAACAATTAATAATTGATTTCCACAAAACTTTGGAGCCCGATTATCTTTGAGATCTCTATTATTTAGTCAAGCATAGCAAAAACCCACTAGCTAACCAAACTAATCCAGGAACTATGGAAAAAGGGGGGAAAAGGAACCACAGATGGATAAACAAGTAATCCAAGCATGAGCACTCATGCCTTATTTCCTGGTAAATGAGATTAGAAGTTTGAGAGAAGATTTCACTCCAACTTTTGCTTTACATATTGCCATGTTTCAGTCCAAGGTCTTAGAAAGTCTTCCAAGAGCTTTGAGCGGGAATCAAGCCCTAAGCCTTTCTGCCCTTGTGCACATGTAAAGGTTTCTCTTGAGATGTCAGCCTTGTTTCAAGAAGTGTGATGGGTTCCAGTGACCTGAACCATGGTCCTGAATGACGTACCAGCTGAACTTTAAACTCATGAGTAATTCCTTTTGTTCTAGTTGGACTTCTTATAGTCCAGAAGAAAAAACGTCTAAGTGGCTTGATAAATCAAGATCTAAGCCAAGTTCTCTGAAAAGGCCAATTGAAAAACCATGGACACAGAAGTCACTTAAATTATTTATACAACCTCTCCTTAGAAATGTCAGGAAATGTTATTTTAGGATACTGTGACGTATCATGAGGACAGGGAATTTAAGATACAAAAGCACAATTCAACATGAAGAAAACTCATATATGTGCCAAGTTACTTTTTAGAGAACCTTTTTTCTATTCAATTTCAATCAACTTGACTGAGCAGAGATCTGAAACACACTACACCAGGAGAGATAAGCCAGGACCTGCCCTGTTTCTGAGGCATCTTGAATTACATCTGTTCACAATGCCACTCTTACTGTATACTTCATGGGTTTTATTTCAAAATCCTAACTGATCACTGATATACACAGTTAACTTTACAAAGGTGCAGCTAAAAACATAAAACTGAAAGATACCATTCAGATTTTTCTACATGTAAGTGCAACATATGCAACAATACAGAAGTGCTCAATGCATATAAAACCAAACACTGAATCATCAGAGCTTTTGAATGTTGAGCTATAGTTCCATTATTTGCAGTACTTAATCCTCCAATTTTAATTTTTCTATGTAAAATAATACATATAGAAAATGTAAGTGTTTCTTATTGCTAGCCTGTAAGTTAAGAAAATGAGTACCCAAAAACATTTTAAAAGAAATTAAGCATGGATTTTTAGGGTTTGAGCAGTTCACTTGTTTCAATAAAAGATATTTTCAGTACAAGATTCCACTATTCACATACCTGTTTTTGATGTGGTAATATATTGCAAGAGCTACACTGTAAAGAAAAATACAGAGTTAATATCTCAGGACTGCCATATTATATTTTTTGTCATATTGCATGCAAATTTAAAACCTAGCAAAGAGCATGACAAACAGTATATGGTCACTAGCCCATTTTCTTTTGTTCACTCTTAGTTATCAGGAAAACTGTAAACAGACAATTTTATAATATTTGTTTTGTATGCTCCAACTACATCCTTTTTACTAGTAATTAAGTAATTTACTTCATATTATAATCATATTCATATTATCTTCTTATTTCACGTATCAAGCTGCACATACTTTCCATTTAATGCCCTACTCCACTAAACCCAGTGATTAAAGCCCTACTGACTTCCAAGGCTGAAGACAAAGCATCACAGCCATTGGACATTCTCTTTAGTTTGGCTGCCAGGTTAGCACAAAATGCTTTAACCACCATTGGCATATGATTATATATTTAAATGCATTGCTTGTGTCTGTCTTTATATAGCTGCTCAAACAGCAGACTCAAACACCAAGCTCCTACAGCTTTATGGCATCAAGTTACTTATTTTAACTCAGGAAAGACGACTCCCTGAGTAACTTATTGCATTATGCATTTCCCCTACTCTCAACCACACACCAAAGCACCCCTGTTTATATTCTGCACACAGACAAAAAGTGTCCTTGTATTCACAGAAAGTTAAGATTTTGATTACATACACAACTAACTGATCTCATTCCCATCTGAGATGGAACAAAATTAAAGCATAGGTTCTTATGATTATCCTCCAGTTTCCAACTCCCAGCTCTTGCTTTAGTCACAATACATTTTTATTGAAGAACGAAGCCGAGCCAGCACTCTCCCTACTCATTGCAGCAGCATAAAACCAATCTAAGCTAAAGGGGAAAGAGGATGGAGGAGAGAATTCACTGATTCTCTTTGTAGACAGTTTGTTTCATCAGTGATTCACTGTAAGATATTTATGTCTTATACTGATGCAAAATTCCCCCCTTTTCCCTAAAATACCTTTTAAGAGTCAATTTGGTTGCTCTCTGATTTTATTACAGAATTTTTACATGAAAACTGAGATACTGCATGTTAGGAAAAGAATATGTTTGAGCTAAAACTCTAACAGAATTTTAAATTATTTCAGGTTTGATTGTGTTTTTTTCTGAATAGCCATACAGTTGAAAATATTTTTCTCATTAAAAGAAAATATATTTTACTAAATTTTTATGAGCTTTTACCTAACTTTATTAGAAGTTCTTAGAGCATACATGCTTTTTAAATTTGGCTTTTTTCTACAAACACATATTTAAGGACTCAAGAGATAGGGTATACCACAGACATATGAAGACCACAGTTATTACTGAACAAAAGAAAAACTCACATTTATGAATGAATTTGATTTGACAGAAAGATATTCACAAAATGAATTAATCCTAAAATTTAATTTTAAATTATGCCCCTAGGAACACACGTGCAGCTCCAGTTCACTTAATGAAAGCAGATGCAAGAGCCTATGTGCACCGCTTTGCTTGGTGCCTTCGTAACAAAATGTCAAATTAAGTTTATAAAATATTTACTATTTAGAAATCTGTATCAGAATCTGAAAGTCTCTCAGGGCTCTAAAAGAGTAACTCATCCAAGTTTCATTCTACCTTTCATACACTGGTTCAGCTGGCACTAAGAGTGCTGAAATGATGATTATGGAGCTTTCCATCACCCTGCTCCAGCCACCCTGACTGCTGCAGATGCTGCAGTGCATACAGTAATATTTTAAACACACCAGTGCATAACATGACCTAGAAGAGATAAATGAGCTGAGCAAAATGCCTCCCTCTTATATTTACCTATGTGCAATACTTATTTTCCTGCAGAGACTGTAAGGTGTGGGGGAAAAAAATGAAGTTGTACTACAAAAGCAATAATCCTATTGTCTCCTCACCCTTCAACCTGCCAAATGTGCAGCTGGACAGAAGATGCAGAGACTTTGTGTGCCAGAGTTCAGTTTCTCACCTTCTGTGGTCCCTTTTCAAGCCCTGTGAGCCCTTGCAACTTCCAACCCTTCCCATGCTGGCAGCCTGGCCTCAGCCCTGCACAACTCCTGCCCAATCCCAGCACTGGCTCTTCCAGCTCTTCTGTTCCCCACCATGCACCTGAGCCTCTCCCAAACACACCACCCCTTTTCCCAACTATCAGCTCATCCTTCTGTGTCCTGAAAATACTTCTTGGCTGCTGCACCTGAACCCATTTCTTCTTCCCACGAGCCATGGCAGTTCTAATGCAAAAAGAGACCCAAACCCCACCTAAAAGGCTGCACTTATTCTGCATACAAAGGATTTTAGAGCAGAAGAGTATGAGATTCAAGGAGGAAAAAAGGCAAAACACATCAGAAATGGAAAACCTTTTTCAAGTGTTAATCAGAACTATTTTTAAGTTACTAGTGACAGAAACCTGAAGAAAAGCAAGACTATATTTCAGGCAGAAAGAGCTGACAAGGAATCAGGCATCAGTTTAACTACAAAACCTTTCTCCTCTCCCTTCTTTTTCCTTTAACAGAAAAATTAAGGACTGTCTTAGTTACCAACATTACAAACTCCTTTGGATGTGTTAGTCTAAATAGATTTGTCTCTCATGTAACACCTCTGCAGCAGAGATACTGTCTTAATAAATTTTTGCATTTGTGTACACCAAGGTAACCAACCTACAGCCAACTCAAGACAGGCTATCAGCAACCATTAAAAAAGAGCACAAAATGCCTGAGCATTTGGCCTCTATTTTCCCCTTGCAGTACAAAACATAAAGAACAATACTCTAAAAATATCAATTTCATTTCTCTGCAAAAGTAAAAAAGCACCAGTGAAACTTAAAATGCTCATCTGACACATAACCCAGTAACTCCGGAGCATGACTGATTAAATAAATTTATTATTTCAAAACCTTTGAAGCTTGCTTAGTAATGGTTCAGAAATACATATACATAAATACACACATAAAATGTAAGTGCTAGCAAAAATAAATAAACTGTAAAACCCACCATTTGATGGTATACTTGAGGTTTGGTTGACTGACCGTGCTGTCATCCAGGAAAATAGTGGAGCAGGAACTGTACTTCCTTCTCAACTGCCCAGGAGGATGCTATGAAAAACAAGCAAAAGAACAATGGCAATTATGTAATACCAAAGCATTTTTTTTGAGGAAATGTAAGAATTTAAGAAAGACAAATTCCTGTCTCTCACAATGATGCACACAGTAATGTGATCACATTTTGAAAGATTTCAGAAAGTTCAGAAATAATTAACAGTGCAATAGTCACAAATATCCCTGCCTGAGACTTGCTAATGCTTTCAAGTTCCAAACCCGTGTCCCTCCTTCCCCAAAACCATGCCAAAATTTTTCTGCAGGCTTACTCAAATACATACATACACTTGGAAAGCAAAGATTAATAAGACCTATATTTCTGTCCTCATTCCAAAAGAGTAAATGGAAGAGTGAAAAAGAAATTGTGTTAGCAATGAAGACTAGTTTAGCAACATATATAAAACCATGTTTGCAGAAAAAAACATTTAAAACCCTAAAAAAAGCTCCTAACATAATGAAGTAAGGGAAACAGGTCTTTACAGTAGAAGTACAAAATTAACAAGGAGAATTCATTAAAAATAATTTATCAATAATAGATTGTTATCAGAAAGGAAGAAAACTGATCAATGGACAGAAGAAAAGTGTATAAGCAAATGAAAAAAATCTCTTAATAGAAAAGGTTTTCAACATATTTCAATCCTTTTTCTGTACTACCATAGAAAAACACTGGAAAATTAAGCCCAAAAAATGGCATTTGAGAATTTGAGAACTCTATTTCTAAATATTTGTTGCTGAGAGAGCTTCTCCATCAGCTGTTTAGAGCAGCCAGCACTCCACCAGACTAAAGAGAACAGTTTCAATCACATCAGCTAATAGCTCTCAGAGTCCATAATCCTCTTTGATTCTATCTTTGCTTATTCCATCTACACTAGCAAATAACTTGACCAAGAACCTAGGTCAGGAAAGTGAAGATCAGTCAAATTACACATTTGACTCAACAACAGAATAGGTTTAAAATTCAGTTGGCATATCAACATGGAAATTTTAATTCATCTTACAATTAATGTAGTTTCCAGTGTTTCAGTGGAGGGATCAATGTCAATGCCATCAGCTGAATTCACAGGTATTTACCAGCTCAGAGCAACTGACTACCCAGGATCCAGTCCTGTGACTCCTACCTCAGTACATCTTCCCCTGCCCACTTTCCAAAACAGATATTATTACAAGTGCCAGCATCCATCAGCTCACCAATGTTCCACTTTCCATAGGCAGCTGACTTCTTAACAGCATTCACTACCCAGACAGACAGACTCCTGGTAAAACCTACACACGTCTAAGTCATATTTCTGTATTTCACAGCCATGAGTGAAAAACCACACAAAGTCTCCTGTTAATTGAAAAAAAACCCAACATCTTCTGAAGCTGCGAGAATTGTAGAAACATTATGTTCAAATTATCTGAAAGCTTACCAACAAATTCTATCAAGGTCCTTCATTTGACCAATAAAATTGTTGGCTGAACTGCTTTTCTTGGAAGTGAAAAAGTTTACTGAGAAAATAAAAAACACCTCTTTTCAAAAATCCTTCAGAACTTTGGAAAGGTATTTTGTAAAACTTTGCAAGCTGACAATCCATCTACCTTCCAAGCTATTGTATGTTAAGCAAGAAAGAGAAAAACTAGAAGTACTGTGAATATTAATGCCATAAAATTTATTATCTAGCATTGATGCACACAGAGAGAATTACTAGGGGACTGGTGACTCACAGGCCTTATTCTATCACAGTTGAGTTTAAATATCTGCATTAGTCTGTTGAAGGCATGATAAATGCAAAGCAACTTAAAACCAACAAAAATGAGATTCTAGTGGCTGGGGAAAAAAAGGGAGATGTACACATATCTCAGAATTGTTATTAAAAAAACCCAACACATGGAAAGTTTTCTTTTTGCATAATAAGTGTCAACATGCTTTAAAGGTTTAGATGAAATTTAAGATAAATATACCTGATTCATTCAAGGCAAGCACAATTAAAAAACAGAAAATAACTCTGCAGCAACATCACTATCAGATTTAAATTTTCCTATGTAAACAGCACTCTAACATTTGGCACACGTCAATAATTAGAGCAATGTGCCTTATTTCTGAAACTACCACATCACAGAATTCTTCTTGGATATTCAGCCCACATCACACTTCGTTAGGCTTGGAACTTTTCACACCTCAGGAAAATATGTGGTGTCTCATGCCTCACTTTCTGTTCACAACAACTTGGCAGGAAGGAGCACCTCTGCCACTCAGAAGAATGGTGCCAAGTATAAAGCTGCATCCTTGGGTAAATATACACACACCTGTGCCATGTGAATAACTGACCTGTGAGGAGGTAACATTATCAGTTTCTACTCTGATGTCCAACTGCAGCCATCTGATACAGCAGGTAACAGATTTTCCGCCTTTTCCAATTGCTGGAAAACACCCTCAGTTTCATATTTTATCTTGAGTAAGCTGGGAGATATCTGAAGTCACACAGTTCAGTTAAACAGACTTTTCTGAGCCCCCATAAAATGCTGCAAAGGAACCTTCTCCATCCTTGCCAAGGACAAAAGAGGTTATTGAGCATCAGCTCAGCATTCAGCGCTGTCCTACAGACAAATTCCCTTCTGTGTCCATTTCAATGGGATAGGTCCGTGACCAAAATTCTACAGGAGCTTAATACCTTTGTATTTGAAATCCATCACAGCTGACCACAAAAATGCTCCCATTTAGACAAGTCAGAGAGGCTCTAATTAAGAAAAAAAACCAAAAGAGCCGAGAGTGACTATAGAGCTTTTGGAAAAATTAGCCAAATTATCTAATGAGATCTTTCTATGGTTCTATCCCACTATAAGGCTGGCACAGGGAGAAGGACAGACTGGTACACCTCCTTTTGTAAATCTTCATATGCAAAAATGAGCATAGGACACATGTGAAGCCTTGACAACTTCTGCTATTACAAATATTTACTAATTCAATGCACCTCACTGATATGAAGTGGGACTCACTTTGCAGGTATTTTCAGTAGCTACAGTACTATTTCTGTACCCAAGCTGAGATGCCATAGATGTCATGCCTCTCAACTTCAGCAAGACTTCCAACTTCATCTCACATAAAATTCCCAAAGGGCAAACCAAGGAAAACATGGCAGGTAAAAACTACTTGGAAAATTATATTCTGATTAGCCAGGGATCACTTTCAAACTGGAAGGTATAAGTAAGGGACATTCTACAGAGGTACCAGTCAGCTCCACATAAAATACTGACCAAAAGCTTTGATCACAGTATCAAAGTACTTTTTATTGAATTTGCAGCAGACATTAACTAGCAGAGAACATTTTTCTTTAAAAAATGCAATATATCAATAGAATTTATAGAGTTAACATGTATACAACAGAGTAGAGCACCCATCCACTCTGCTTCACTGTATTTCAAGAAAGATGAATTTATTTCAGAGTCTGGAGGGCGGAGAAGCAACATCAGTCAGAGATTTGAAAAACTTGATTTACAAGGGACTGTAAAGGCACTCTGGAAAGGTTTTCTTCAGAAACAAAGCAAAAATAATGGCCTTAAAGTCATGTTGAAGGAAGTTACAAAGAAGAGGTGATGGCATGGTGTTGCTCTCCATGACCCTTGTCGATGGGATAAGAAAGAGCAGGCTTATATTAAACTATGGAAAATTAAGATTGTATTAAGTGTGAGAAGAGGTGATGGCAAAAATACCCAAGCTACCACCTTTTTCTTATACCAGGGATACCTTAAATTACTTGAGCAGTGATAGACTCTCCATCACTGAAAGAGTAAAGAAGAGATAAAACAAACATAGGCCAGGAATAGCTTAGACACAGGCTTCTGCTTCTGGACAAGAAACCAGACTGAACAAGCTCTTGAGATGAATTCTGGACTAATCTTCTGTCATTTGGTGGAGAGGATTCTTAGCTCTTTACTCCAGAAGCAGTTGCTATTTTTCTCATTTGAACCAAAGACATTCACTAAGAAATGCTGACATTATAGGTCACAATGAATATGAAATAGGTATTGCATGGAATTTCTGTCTTAACAGAAGAAGATAAAACAGAAAACTCTGCTTTATAATGTGCTATGTTTTTGAATGTGTTACAGAAAAAGCCATAAGAGATCAAGGTTCAGTTTCCAATAATGCAGGTGTTCCTAGCTCTTGAGACTAGCAGTTTTTTCCCCTTGTACAGCAAGTACTAAGTAAATATCACTGCTTTATTTTCTTCCAGCTTCCTCCTGACACTTTCCAATTTTCCAAATCCTGTGTGTTTTAAGATGTTTGAACTACAGGTTTTTACTTGAAGTTTACATAAAAACATTTTATCAGAAATCTAACGGCTTGGTTTGCCATCAAAATCATACAAGCACTGCAGAATTGCTTCAAGGTACCTGCTTTGAAAGGGATCACAATGAATTCCTAACTTTTTCACATAAAGAATGTACTAAAGAGACAATTTCTCTCAGGAAGCATCACTTAGAAATTAAATCTAAATTTGTGGGGAAAGAAGAAATGTAGAAATGTTACTATTTCTTTTGTTGAAGTAGGCACTTCAGAGGGGTTTTGTGTAGAAACAACTAATGGATGGTGCACATTGCCCAAAACCCACACTCAGAATTGACCTGAAGGGCCAGCTCTGGCCTCTTCAGCAGCACTAGGGTGGCTCTCTGCCCTGATGCTCAGCAGGATTCCTTTGTTTGGGCAAACACTCCCCTAATGAAGCCATACAGCTTTTGTACCAGCGCTGGCCGTCAGCCAGTCAGCCTCCAGTGTGGCAAAGCAGCTTCAGCCTTTTCCAGAGTTCTTCTGCACTTGTCCATCAAAAGAGAATTTGGAGCTTCTGTTGTAAATAATGACAGTAGTTTCTCTGCTTCCTGCGAACCAGGTGTAAGTTAGTGCATAATTTTAAAAGGTCCTATTAAATAATAATTTCCCCCCTGGAAAAACTGAGCCTTGCTTGCTCCTGTCTGCGCAGACGTGCCCATGAGCTTCCAGGCAGTAAAGGCTGGCCAAG